TAAAATTCAAGGTATTATAACTTTTTGTTGTGTGCATATAGATTAAGTTCAACTTTCGTTTAGCTTGTAATTTAACTTGTATCCGTACCTAAGGAAAATGGCTTTCTCCAAACTTCTACAGCTCTACCACAACCAAACAAATGCCATCGAGTCGTGCAGAAGCTTCCACGCAGAGCAAAAGTGGGCCAGCAAATATTCAAAATCACATGTGTGATGGTGGATGGAGATGGCCTTGCCTTTCCTTTTGGTCCCTCTGAATTAAATTAAGGCCTAACGTTATTGGTCAGACTACCCAATATTTTTTATTCTTGCTTGGAACGTTATTTTCGTCCTTTAAGGTTAGGCTTTCTCATAAATATCTACTTGCTGACGAAGAGATATTTGCACTTTTGCTCAATGGACGACATGTAGCTAATTCACCAGTTAAGGATGCACAAAAGGAGTTAGTTATAAAATAATATATTTATTTTTTATTATATAATTCAGTTATTTTTAATTATTAACAAAAGTAATGATCTAATAATTAATGAGAAAAAAAATTAAGAAATATATGTATATTTTTTGAAAAGTAAATTTTGTTAATGAAAGTAGAAGGGGTTTTTTGAACTGTGTACACTCAATTGCATGTATTTGGTATTTACAATAATACCCTAGTAAAATATTTAAAAGAGAAAATAATTTATGAACCAAAATGTGGGGTTGAGTTTTCCTGTATCATTTATTTATGTACCGCATTCGTATGCCTTTTATAAGACTTGAATCATTTGTATTTTAATTACATAGTATTCCAAAACAAAGTTAATTTATAGTATTTATTAGGAAAACATACCAATCATTCAAATTAAAAAAAGGCGAAGAGATATAAAGTTCAAATTCCCTTCTTCATACCATAAGGGAAGAAAGAAAAAGTTGGATTTTGCCTTTGTTTCAGTAGACGCAAAACAGTCCCTCAAGAGGTGACTTAAATCTTGAGTTCGTAACATTAAGACAGATAAAAAAAATTTAAAAGAAGAGAATAAATGGGTAATAAAGAATTAAGGTTATATTTGGTACAGTGGATAGAAAATTTTCTTAAACTCTAAAAACTCCATCTGTATCAAACATTATCATTTGTGAACAATTTTACAATTTTTCATAAATCAGTATTTTATTTATTTCATTGCAAATCTCATAAATACCAATTTGATAAAAATTTCTCATTCGGATTTTAATGAAATTAATACATTATTTTTATTATTTTTATTTACAAAAATAATACTTCTACAATAATTTTTTTTAACAAAATTTCTATTAAAAACTTCAGTTATACAAAATGAATACTAAGAGAAGGAATAGATTATCTTTTAGTACATAATATAATACATCATATGTTAAAAAGGAAAACGACGCAGAAGCCATTACCATTTTGACTGATGTATACGTTTATTTATAATAAAGCTAAAGGAAACCAAATTTGAAACTTTTCAAGGTCCTAGCGGATTTCTTTACTCTTGAATTAAGTTTGATTGATTTCATGACTTAACACAACATAAAATTGGAGAAGAGATCACGGGTCCGATCTTGTATTCCTATTTATGTATAAACATTTAATAAAATAAATTTTTAAATTTTTAATTAAAATTTTAATTTTTAAATGTAGGTATCAATATTTAATAATATAATAATTTTAAAATTTAAATTAAATAAAATGATATTATATAATATTGAGACTTTAATTTTTTTTCTTAGGAGTCGAGATTGAGTGATATGCACTATTCTCAATTAAATACTATTATTCTATTTTTTTAGAAGAGATATCTATTTACATATGTTTTATACATCATACTTATATAAAATTATAAATTTTTACTTTCAATTATTAAAATTTATCATAATTTTTTAAATGAAAAGATAATTTATTTTTATAAATGTTAATAAATATTAATCATTAAATAAGAGAGATGAATGATTAAAATTTTATATAAATATAATACATAATAATTGTGTGTAAATAAATTTTTTCTAATTTCTTTTAACATGTAATTACGTATATAACAATTTGTGTATACCAAAATGAAAGCGACACATTAATAAGAACTTAGGTGAGTTTATGTAATACTAATTTCAAAAAATTAATTTTTACACTTAAAATTAAGAATTTAAAGCTCTATAATATTAAAAAGTTCTAAACTCTATAAACTACGAGAAGTTCAAAATAAAATTGGTTAGTGCTGAAAGCTTTGAATATTGAATCTAGTAATTCTTACCACATTTCAATACAAACTTCACTAGAAAAACTTTTAGTAATATATTAACAAGAGTTCATTTTTTAGTCTAAACTAACTGCACAAGAAAAGGAAGAAAAACAATTTAGACTATGAAAATCCCTGCATTTTTAATGAATCAATAGATGGAAGAGATTTATTAAAAGTACATAAATACTTTTATAATTCAAACTATGTCTCTTGTATCAAAATAATTATTTTTTTCTTTAAATTAAAAATTTGAGAACTATTTATATATATTATCCTTAAGAAATAGTTTAAAAATAAAGTAAAATTGTTTGTAATAGGATAATTAATTAAAATAAAAATATTTATTTATCTTAAAAAATTAAAAAAACTTGACAATTAATTTAAAATAAAAAATAACAATTATTTTAAAATAAATTGAGTATATTTTTTTTATCATAAAAATATATTTTTCTATTAAAATAGAGTTTGTTTTCCGACAAAAGAAATGATAAATTTGAACA